TGAAAGGTGAACTGTCAGGTTGGAGGAAGGTTACTAGCGGAGTTCCTCAGGGATCAGTTTTGGGGCCAATTTTATTTAATCTTTTTATTGCTGACCTTGGCACCAAAAGTGGAAGTGTCCTGATAAAATTTGCGGATGACACAAAGTTGGGAGCTATTGCCAATTCAGAAAAGGATCGGGATATCATACAGGAAGATCTGGATGATCTTGTAAATTGGAGTGATAGCAATAGGATGAAATTTAATAGTGAGAAGTGTAAGGTTATGCATTTAGGGATTAATAACAAGAATTTTAGTTATAAGCTGGGGACACATCAGTTGGAAGTAACGGAGGAGGAGAAGGACCTCGGAGTCCTGGTTGATTATAGAATGACTATGAGCCGCTATTGTGACATGGCCGTGAAAAAGGCTAATACGGTCTTGGGATGTATTAGGCGAGGTATTTCCAGTAGGGATAAGGAGGTGTTAGTGCCATTATACAAGGCATTGGTGAGACCCCATTTGGAATACTGTGTGCAGTTCTGATCTCCCATGTTTAAGAAGGATGAATTCAAACTGGAACAGGTACAAAGAAGAGCCACTAGGATGATCCGAGGAATGGAAAATCTGTCTTATGAAAGGAGACTCAGGGAGCTTGTCTTGTTTACCTTAACCAAGTCTCCCATGTTTAAGAAGGATGAATTCAAACTGGAACAGGTACAAAGAAGAGCCACTAGGATGATCCGAGGAATGGAAAATCTGTCTTATGAAAGGAGACTCAGGGAGCTTGTCTTGTTTACCTTAACCAAAAGAAGGCTGAGGGTGGACATGATTGCTCTCTTTAAATATATTAGAGGGATAAATACCAGGGAGGGAGAGGAATTATTTACGCTAAATACCAATGTGGCACAAGAACAAATGGATATAAGCTGGAAAATAGGAAGTTTAGACTTGAGATTAGACGAAGATTTCTAACCATTAGAGGAGTGAGGTTCTGGAATGGCCTTCCAAAGGAAGTAGTAGGGGCAAAAGATCTATCTGGCTTCAAAATTAAACTAGATGGATTTATGAAGGGGATGGTTTGATGAGATAACATGATCTTGGTAACTAATTGACCATTCATTATCAGTGGTAAATAGGTCAATGGAGGGAAGATAGGAGTTACTATAGAGAACTTTCTGGGTGTCTGGCTGGTGAGTCTTGCCCACATGCTCAGGGTTTAGCTGATCACCATATTTGGGGTCGGGAAGGAATTTTCCTTCAGGGTAGATTGGCAGAGGTTTTTCGCCTTCGTCTGTAGCATGGGGTACAGATCACAGCTGGAGGATTCTCTGCATCTTGGGGTCTTCAAACTATTTGAAACTTCAATATCTGAGATACAAGTGAGAGGATTATTCTAGGAGGGGGTGGGTGAGATTCTGTGGCCTGCATTGTGCAGGGGCTCAGACTAGATGATCAGAATGGTCCCTTCTGACCTTAAAGTCTATCAGTCTGAGTCTATGTACAAGAGCTGCCTGTGGCTCTTGTGCATTTCAAAGGAAGGGGCACCCCTCTCCTCTGCCTCTCTCCCTTTTAAATATACAAGAGCAATGGGTAGCTCCTGTACATTTCAAAGAGAGAGGCGCTGTGGGATAGCGAGAGCGCCCCCCCCCCATCGACTAATCGAGTAGTCAATGGAAATTCTATCGACTCCACAATTAGCTGATTAATTGAAATTTAAAATCCCTACTATGGACTAGGTCCTGAGCAGCTGTGGGCACAGTTTTTGGTATAAAAGGTGATTTCTAATTTTTTCTCTCTCTCCCCATCTCACTCCAAATCTGCTACCCAGCCAATTCCTGATCTAAAGTATAGAAACCAATTGGATCTACCAACTCTTTTCTCCAAAAAGCCTTTTTGGGAGCCAAGTCTACACTGGGATTGGACAGGTACCATAGGAACTATTACAATACAGTTCCTTGGGAAGTGCTAGTACTACTACAGCCAGGTTATTGCATCTGTAAGAGGGATTAGAATCTGACCTTTCATTTATTGAAAGGTGGAAGATTACAGACCTCCATTGTTCAGCTTTTCTGCAGTACAGAAAGTACAATCTCCAGGCATCTGGTACTGCCAATGGAGTAGTCTAGAGAATAGAAAAAAGAAATAAACCAAAAAAAAAAGCAAGGTGCATTACATATCATACTTCATGCTTGAATTTATGAATTAAGAGTATAACACATGGATAATTCAATACTTTCTCATTCTCTTCTAGTGAAACCTCTACCTCCACATAACTTAATTGTCAGTTCAGAAGATCTACCCACTGTCTTGAAACTGTCATGGGACAACCAAATTGAAACATTTGAAATGGAGTTGAAATTTAATATTCGATACAGGATGAGTGACAGCCCAGACTGGATGGAGGTAACTTTATTTTGAAGGTTTTAGTGACTTCTTGTGCACTTTGCCATATTACTCTGGAGTCCCGATTCACCATTGTTGGCAGCAGAAGCTTATCTGTTGCTTCATTCCCCTCTCTCAGTACTTTAGAAGCCACATTTTCATTAGTGTATTGTCACCCCCAGAAGTACTGCTTTATCGAATGGCATTACTTATTTCTCTTCAGTGACTTGAAGCAAGGGGGAATGTTCCATCCTATTAGGTATTGATACCTGTGACTGCTGGTACCCTTTCTCTCATTTAGTTCTCCTTTTACTGCTCTAAAAGTGATGCTCTCTTAGAGCATGCGTTAGGCTTCTGAAGTCTACTTCTGAGCATGATGACCTACTAGATCTATTTATCAGTATTAGAACCACTGCCTATATTTTCAAAGCCTGCAAAAAATCAGAATCACTACACAAATGCTGCTAGTTCTTGTCTGCCCTAATGAGTGCTATTTGGCTACCTTTGTGTGTATATAGTATAGCCTTGGCCACTTGCAAAAGCTGTTGACTTTAAGTTTTCTTTGAAGATTTGTGAATTTAGGCTGGCAACCTACTACATTCCACTAGAGCTTTTCTCAGGCTCCTGTTTCATAGAGACAAGTAGTTAATAGCAGGGATGTAAATATTGTTAAAATGGTTAAACAATTAAAGTTATACCAGTTAACCATTGGTAGGCTGGTGCAAGGCAGCTGGGGCTGCACTCTCACTGAGTCTATAGGACAGCGGTGTTCCTTGCCAGGCATGATAGGATCTGCTACAGGCCAGCCTGCCTGCCATTGATGGGATTGGAGCTGCTCCACCGGGGCCATGGTTCCACCTGCCAGCCCTGCCCTACAGACGCAGCAGGACCACAGTTCTGGCAGAATCCCAGCCTAATGCTTTCCGGATAACCGGTTAACCAATTAACCTTTTACATTTCTGGTTCATAGGCAACTTCAAAAGCAGGCAGTATAAGACTCTGCCACATTTTACCCCTTCATAGCAGTCTTTGGACTCGAGCATGTAAAGCTGAATATCTTAAAACTTGAAGACTGAGTCCAAACACTTCATCTCAGGGCAGCCTACTCTGTCTGTATCTCAGTGATGTGTTCTATCGACTCCATCTGGCACAATACTGTCTGGCACAATACTTACTCCATAACTTCAGAATCCGTGTTTTGTGCATATACAATCCTGTCTGAAGTTCTTATAGCCTGCATATACCCAAGGCTAACGCACTTATTTTCAGGAATAATGGCATTGCGTAAGAGGGTTTTTCTTGCGCAAGAATGGGCAGTGTAGACAGCTCCTTCTGGCGCAAGAGCCTCTTCTGCAAAAATGGTGGCTCATTAGATATGCAAATGAGGCTCGGTGATATTCCACGCTTAGCCTCATTTGCATATCTCTGGCGCAAGATTGTGCCAGTGTAGACATAGCCTAAATGAATTTCTCATTATTTTCTATTTATGGCTTCACTGAGGCTCCATCTCTTTGTAGATTGGATTGTGCACTCTTCTACATCACCATCCATCTGCACCCCTATTGTTCCAGTTGCTGAAATCTATAGGGCAGCAACATACCCCACAGTGTGCATGTTTTCTGGCCATTACGTCTTAGTTCACACAGCAAGATCAGATGCTGCAGTAAGCAAGTCAGTTTTCTTCAGTGATGGACTCTGATCCAAAACTCAGACCTCCTTAATGGGTTGCTTTTAGGGAGTTACCTAAAGTGAAGCATCAGCAGGGACACTTTACTTTAAAAAGGGCAAGTTATGCACATTGTGCTGCAGGTGGAATTCTTGCAGTATATGTCCATGTAGGTGCTCCATGATCTACCCTCCTCCCTTCTTCAGAGCTGCCTCTGTAAAGTTTTGCATTAGAGAGAACTGAGAGCTGTTCACCTGCACACCCTGTATAGCCTCATTATGGGACACAAATATGGATAAGACACATGCAGAGGCGGACTGGGAAGTGCTCCCAAAAATGTCCAATCAAAGGTGCAGAGGCTCATGAGTACGTAAATGGAGACCATATTTGTTTGTAAAAACATGAATATGATCATGAGTCTACTCTGCAGCTTTAGAGTGAGAGAACATTTAGATTTTTATTCTTGGTACCAATTTCTGTGTAAAATTCTAAAAACCGCTTTTATGGAAAACTGTGGTACCATGATAAATTTTATCCTAAATCAGTATGAGAGAACCTAAATGCTTTAGGTCATTGGGAACAGGGTGATTCCTCACTCTTCAACTGGATAAATGAGGAGTTCATAGTACAGATGTTTTTTAGTAGATTGGACACAAAGGTTGTGAATGGGCAGAGCAAATATTCTAATCCTTGCATCTGGGACCAGAATAATTTTTGCCAGTGAGAGGGGGAACTGCATGTCTGAGAAGTCAAGGGTGGGGTGAGATTTCTGTAGAAGGTGTTTTTAGAACATTACAATACCAAATGTGAATTACTTGAAAACTACTCTGAAATTTTGGAATAATAAAAATAATCCTGCATGAGATGGTTTATAATACAAGTGAGGCGCAAAATACAAACAATTGCTTATATGGACACGATGACCCTGTATGTGTATATTCTGCATGAAAAAAAATACATTAATTCCACTGTTGAGAAGTGAAACTCCTGGAAGTCAAAGAATGTAGACTTATGGATGAAGTTTTAGGGATTGATTTCAGTGCTATGCTAAATCAGTAATCCACGGCACAATGCTATGCTAAATCAGTAATCCATGGCACAGAGCTATGCTAAATCAGTAATCCACGGCACAGTGCTCATAGTGTTAGAAAGTCTACTCAGAAAAGGATTATAGTGGTATGAGGGTTTAACTGATCCTGCTGAGTAGCTGGTAATAATTTTAAAGACCTTTATTACCTTTTGCAGGTTCCTCCTGAAGACACAGAATCACACAGAACTTCATTTACTGTTCAGTCCCTAAAGCCTTACACAAAGTATGTGTTTTCACTTCGTTGTATGAAGAAAGATGGGATGGGCTTCTGGAGTGACTGGAGTAAAGAGAAGAGTGGGGTCACATCTGAAGCTAGTAAGTAATTTTTTATTTTAATTTTCATTTTTCTACATAGTTAATCTTTGTGATACTCCAAAATACATGCAGATATATGTCAGTTTGCCTTGGGTTGCTTGAAATGATCCTGCTGGGAAAGATTTAAGTAGGTTCTGCTGACTTGGTTATATGATTGATTAACCCTTGTGTCCTGTTACTCTTAGCTGTGGTGGGAACAGGGCCGGCTCTAGATTTTTTGCTGCCCCAAGCAAAAACCCCCCCCCCCCCCCCACATGCTTTTTGTTGGTTTTTATGCGTTTGCACTTTGCAATTTTGGTTTGTTTTGGTTTGGTTTGGGGGGTTTCGACTGTTTAAAATTTAAAAAAAAAGAAAAGAGAAAACTTGGAGTTGGTGAAATAAAATTTAATTTTAACAAAATCACAATTACAAACAATTTGGGTTCAACTGTACGCTGTAATGAAAAACGTTAGTGTCTCAAATTAAAAAAATTTATATGAACTGAATTTTTCTGGTTTTTATACTTGCGTAGCCTTTTAATAATTCAGTAAAATCTAAATTTTTTGCAATGATACTTTCAACTGAAATTAATGCAAGTCCTGACAAACAATTTTGAGACATGGTGGACCTCAAATAATTTTTTAGTAATTTCAGTTTTGAGAAACTGCGCTCGCCAGAAGCCACTGATACTGGTAATGTTAAAAGAATGCGTAATACTATAGCAGTGTTTGGAGTGAAAAAATCATTTGTTGCTATAAATTCTAATACTTTTAGAGGAGAAGTTTTAGGACTTATTAGCTCAGATAAAGCTATTAATTCATCATACCATTCTACTCCTTCAATGTCAGCAGCGTTATCACTACTGAGCACTAAATGTAGGCCTTGGAAATGCTTCATGAGGTCGTCTTTAGAAAACTGATTTTTAATATTTCAAGTATTGTATAAAAATTCCAAAGTTTCACAAAGACCATGCAACTGATAAAATCTTTCTTCAATGGCAGTTATAGCTACATCCAAAAATACAATAGAAACATTCAAATTTAAATCTTTCTTTAGGATCAAGAATAGGATCATCATGAGCCTCTCAACAAAACTGTCTTGGTTTTTTTCGAGGATGAATGAATTGTTAAGGTGCAAACGTTGGTTCAAAATCAAGATCCTCTGCTATTGTTGTTGCTTCTTTGACAGTTTCTTCAAATCCTTTATTGGAACGGTGGTTTTTTAAATATTCCAGCATTTTATTCAAAATTGTCTTTGCCTCAGATATGTCTATGGGTATGGTCTGCATAACTTTGCTGACCAAATTAATTTGATTTAGAATATTATGCCAAATCGCTGTGCAACATGAAAATTGAAACTGCATCGTTTTCTGAGCCAGTGTTTCAGCTTCATGTCGAAATGAAGGGTCATACAACAAGTCCTGATTTATTTTGAATAGTGCATTATAAATCTCTCCTGATGAATATCGGAATGGTTTAATAGGGTCTTATCCTACTTTCCCATCTAGTTTGACTTACACTTAAACTTCTGAGTTTGTGTTCAATATGCTTCTTCATAGCACTAAAGTGGAAGCACTAAAAAAGTTGTAAATTGCTTGCACTGTGGTAAAATATGAAACAGCATCTTTAGATGATTTGTCGGCATCACTGACAACCAGATTGAGCAAATGCGCATGGCAAGGATCGAAGAAAGCTCAATTATTTAAATTCACTATTCTTTGCTGTACACCTGCATGTTGTCCTCGCATGTTTGAGCCGTTATCATATCCTTGGCCGCGCATATTTTCTAAAGGTATTCCATAGTGTTCTAATCTCTGCAGAATTACATCTGTGAGGGCTTTCCCAGTAGTTTCATTCACTGGTATAAATTCTAGAAAGTGTTCAGAAATTTTCACATCTGCATTTTCATCGGTTTTCACAAATCGTAAAACTATTGACATTTACTTGGTTTTACTCAGCTCTTGAGTACCATCAAGTATAATTGAGAAATATTTGGCATGTTTCAAATCTGATAAAATTTTATTATGCACTCCATTAGAAATTAATTGTATTATATCATTTTGTGTATTTTTACCCAAATAATGGGTGTAAATCTCTACATCTTTCACTCTTCGTACATGCTCAGCCATAACACTATCAAACTTTGCCAATAACTCAACCAATTTCAAGAAATTTCCATTGTTGTTCTCATATAAAATGTCTGAGGATCCACGGAATGCGAGGCACTGTTTGGCTAGGAAAGTAATGATTGCTAGTAAACGTTCCAACACAGCTTGCCAACATAGAATTTCTGAATTTAGTGGACGTTGCTATAACACATCGATTGTTGTACCAGAAGAGCTCAGTCCAATTTGTCAATGAGTATAAATGATTTTTTGATGTTTCATGTTCTTTCAAATGCTGATGCAAATTTCGCCAGTCATTAAAACCTGCAGTTGCCAGAAGAATGTCTGTGTTACAGAACAGTTTGCAGCAAAAACAAAAAACTACATTTTTGGTCTGTGACTACACCAACTGCGATCTATTAATTTGTTCCCCATTTTTCATTTTTTTTCTTCATACTGGATGGCATAAATCGACGATTTGACTCATTAAATGGATATTGAAATGTAGAATCTAGTTTTGAAGGACCTTTTTTCACAATAATGATTCGCATCGCATCAGTAATTATTGTCGGCTATGTAGCGGGATCCGATCTTATGTCAGTCTGTCCACCTTCCAATAGTTGTTCAGTTTTAGATTTGGATAACAGTTCTTCATTTCCGGACTCTTCAGCTGAAGAAGTAAATCTTTGGATAGATTGTGATTGTTCGTCTTTATCAGTTAGCAAAGATAATCTTTGGTCAGATTGTTGTTCATCTTTATCAGTTGATGAAGACCGATCGAACTAAAGATTATCTTTATCAGTTGATGAATAATCACTTTCAATGCATTGCTTAGAGCTTTCTCCTTGATTCTCGACTTTTTTAAAATACTTATTTGAAGTATATGAAAGTTTTTCTAATTCTTTTTGGCGTTTCTTTCTTTTTTGCCAGAAGGCAGCACCAGAAATGCTGGGACGAAAATGACTTTTAGCCTTATAAATAGCAAATATAATTTTATTTTTATTTTATTTTTTTCAAGAAAGACAAAGGTGCTTCAAGTAAACTCCCCCTCCCCTTTCACTCGCTGCTGGGTCACAACAGTCTTTTCCCTGCCCATCCGGTCCTGCACAAATTCTCTTCCAGTCCCCACCAGCCGCACAGAGCAGGGAGACAAGATTCAGACCCCTGGCTGCTGCTTCCCCAGGCATAGCCTGTCCCACAACCCAGCCGGGCACTGGGGCTTGGTGCTGGTCAGGCGCAGGCGGCTGGGCTCTACTCAGAACTGACCAGACCAGGGCAGGGGCACCCCTGCCCCCAAACCTGCCTGCTGTCCCCCCAGCAGCAGCTTGGCCCTGCCCTGCCACTTCTATGGACAAGTACCCCTCACTCCTGACCCACAGCTCCCACAGACAGCCCAGCCGAAGGCCCCCCCCCACCTGCTGGTGCCCCTCACTCCTGACCCACAGCCCTGCTAGTGCCCCTAGCTCCCGACCCACAATCCTGAGCATCCCCGCCTCGCCCTGCCCCCGCTGTCCCGGGGTCAGTACTTGGAGGCTGACCTCTCCTGACAAATTTTCTTGGGGTCACCCTTGAAGAGCTTGGTGGCCTGCTTGGCCTTGCGCTGGATGTTGCTGATGAATATGGGAAGTTATTTCAAAATAATTTTCCTAATGTAGACATGCCCGTAAAGAGACAAGGTGGTGAAGTAGTATTTTTTTTATTGGACCAACTTCTGTTGGTGACAGAGACAAGATTTCCAGCTCACACAAAGCTCTTTTTCAAGAGTGGGAAATGTACTTTCAGTCTCTACTTTATTGTTCTTACAGAAATAGACTACTTTTTAATTGTGATTTGAATGCATGAAAAACTATTAACGCAGATAATTAAGGAAATATAAACTAAGTACCAAAAATAAAAGGGAGAACTTGTGCCACATCTAAAACTCAAGTAGTTTATGGCTATCAATCTTCAAACCAATTACAATCAGCTCTGTTTTAACATACTTGTCAACCAGTTATGATAACTATAGAACATCAGACATCTAAACTAAATCAATAAATATTTTTATTGTTAAACTAGATTTGTTTTGGAATACAGTGGCTCCTTATGTGGCTCTAACACATCTATGTCATCAGATAAACTGAGATCACTGGGTGTGCATGTGCACATTATTTTTGTGTCCATCTTGTTAGTAGCCATTATATATTCAAGTTTATGAGGTGTTAGAGGGAGTGGAGAGTTGTATGTGCCCTATACAACTATATATGGAATGAAGCTTGCCTTAGAGACATCAAACACAAAAGTGTACCAAGATCAACAAAGTTTAATTCTTTAAAGAAATATCTATGAAACAGCATGTGTGACTCTTTGAAGAGTATAGAATAGTTAAGTGTGTGTGTGTGTGTGTGTGTGTGTGCGCGCGCGCTGGATCCTTGTTTAGTTCTACTTCTACTACAAACATGAACAAGAGAAATATATTAGGAACAGACTTCAAAGGTTCCGAGGGGCTAAGGGTGTCGGGGGCTGGAGCCTGGGGGGAGAGGCCAGGGACTGGGCCAGTGGGCTGAGAGTTTGTAGGTTTGCCGGGTGTCCGATATTTTCTGATTTTTTTTTTTTTAACTGGACAGGAACCAAAAATACTGGACACCTGGCAGCCCTAGGCTGAAAGGGGACATCTTACCTGGGATTTCCATACGACCGTGGTCCCCAACACGGTGCCCCTGGGCGCCATGGCGCCCGCGGGGGCATTCGTGTGCGCCCGCCACGTGCTCGGGGCTGGCCCGGCCCCGG